AGGGGCTCACTCTTGCTTGATAAAAGTGATTCTTATTTTAAAAACACTATATTGCTCGTGTGACTGGCAATAACGAGTAGTGCAGAATCTGCTATTTACCACTACTAAAGAAATAAATGTTTGCTTTTAGAGGCTTTAGGTTTGTTTTAAGATGTTTGAGGGAAAATAATAAAGTAGTCCATTTTTTCTACGATTTTCCTATCTCTTGAGCAATTTTGGTCTGTACAAGCTTATTAGTTACTTGTCGTTCTATTTTATCAGTTACAATTGAATCTACGGGTGCATTACCTCCCGAAGTACTATTCACTGAAGCCGTGAAGATTTTGGAAGATAAATGTGAACGTGTGATGACTCAGCTTTCTTGAGTTCCCTCCCAAAGGAGGAAATTTTCGAAGCAAGGGAATTGCTTGCTTTGGTATGTTGCGTAGTAGTTATTTTGTTCTTTGGCGTGATTGTAGAATTCAGAGAATTGATGTCTTGTTATCGTGTTTTTTAGCCGTGAAAACTCCTGTGTGCTGAAATTACAGCCATATTTAAAGATGTCGACAGGAATTTTGACAAGGGTTTTCATATCAAAAGAGACACAACTTGATGATGATGATGATGACTTTAAACATGTAGCCCAAACTATGAATTTACATAGTCAATATAAAATTCATTGCATTTGTAGATTTGTTAGTCACTTTAATCTTTCATATGTTGTGACTGCAACCGGTCGGATCAACCTGGGTTAACCGGGTTACTTTTTTTTTCTTTTTTGGTTTATTATTTTTATTTTTTTTTAAAAATAAAACTATGTATATATATTTATATATTTATATGGGAAATTTTTATTAAGAGATACGATATTATTAACACTTTGATGTACATAATTATATACACAATATTTATTTTTGTTACTTTTTATATTTATATTTTATTGATAAAAATACTACATATATAATTTAAAAAATTTTATAATTTGTTATTCGATTCAACAATTGACCCAATGATCCTTCAAGTGAACCGGTGATTCGATGGCCTGCCCACGTCGATTCTCGGGGCGGGTTTGAAATCATGACTGCAACTAATCCATATAATGTTGTTTATGCAGCCTAACATTTAGGCATGTTAATTGAACTTTACCTTCTCTAACAAAAATACATTCAGATATTGTCAAGTATCGTATACTCTTAACATTTAGATATGTTAATTCAACTTACCTTTTCGAACAAAAATACATTCAAATATTGTCAAACTAGTACAAAACTCGTGTATTACACGGATGCTTGTTAAAAAATTA